GAGAAAAAACAAATCTTTATTTGTCTGTTTTGTTTTTGTATAATTCATGTGTCTCTTGTTGCAAAATGCCAACATAAGGAAACAAACATTTGACAGAAGGATTCTTTCTCAAGAATCTGACACTAATCGTATTTTTAACATGCATTATGTAAAATATCACAAATCAATTATTTTTTCGTTAATATTCTATAAAAAACAAAAAAAAAGAAGAAAAAGAAAAAAATATAATTATAGAATTTCGTTTTGAAAAATATTTTCATAATAAATTTTTCATAATAAGCAGATAAAAATGTCTAATTGAAGATGAAGAATAAAAAGAAGCAAACATACAACATTATTAATAATAAGATGAAAATTTATAAATATAAAACATTTTTTTTGTAACAATAAAAGTTTGAAAAGAAGTTTTTAAACTCGTTGTGGTTGTTTTGCACGTTTATGTTGTTTTACTAAACGTTGAACATAACGACGAGGACAAAGAAGTTTCATAAATGCCAAACGAAATTCTCGTGATGTCAATGAATAAACAAAAAAATTAAGCTAAAATAAACAAATAAATATATGAAAATAATATGTAAAAACATACAGCTGAATTTGTATAACCAAGCCAAGTAAAAAGACGAAAAAGTTGTTCATTTGAATTTTTAAAATCAATATGAAATACTCCTGTAAGAACAAGAAAAAAGAAAAATGGAAACCAACAAGCTATAAATACACCCATAACAATTCCTAAAACTTTTGTTGCTTTATGTTCAGTTGAAAATCGAGACCAATTTCTAGTACGATGAATTTGACGTAAACGACGTAAAAGTAAAAGTGGAAATGATCTATGACTAAGACGATGATCAGTTGGTGTGATTGGTGGAAGTGATGGAGATCGACAATATTTTCCACGATGTATTCTTAATGTTATTGTTTCAGGTGTATTAGATATCGCATTTACATTTTCAATTGTTTTTACGGATGATAAATTTTGTTTTTTTTTTATTCGAAAACAAAATCGAGGAACTAAAGGTGATAATTTATATGTTTCGCCACTTGTTGTTCGTTTATAACCTTGTCGTAATGCTGTCATTTGTCTACGAGCAAATATTAATATTCGTCCATAAACAAATACCATTATTATAAGTGGAATATAAAATGAAACTAAAGATGAAACAATAATAAATAATGGATCAGAAGGAAATTGACATCGATCATTTATTGTTTCATTATATATATTTATACCAAATTCTAATAATAACAAAGATTTAAAAGAAAAAAGAAAATTTTATTTTTAAATATATATATTTAATTAATTAATTAATTAATTAATTACTTAATGAATTTGTTCTTCCTCCTAAAATAATAACTGTTGGACCAGCAATTATTGTCGAACAAAACCATATTGCAGCAATAACAAATGATGAATGACGAGCTATAAATGATCTTGGATATCGAATAGGAGAAGTAATTCCTATATATCGATCGAGTGAAATAACACATAAAGCAAGAATTGATGCTGTTGATGCTCCAACATCAATTATATGCCATAGATTACATAAAAAATGATAAGGTGATGGTATTGATAATTCAAAAAAAATAGCTAATGGTATAACAATAACTCCAACACAAAGATCAGCAACAGCCAATGAAACAATATAATAATAAGTTGGAGAATGAAGTGATGTTTCACGATAAACAGCTAATATAACAAGAACATTGCCTACTAAAGTTAAAAAACATACAAAAGATAACCACCAAATTCCTGGTATAATCATTTGTTTTGTTTTTTTCTTCTACATTTGTTCTTTAAATTTCAAATAGATGATAAATAGCAGCTGTCGTCACATCTTGTTCTTCTTTATTTCTAATAAGAGTAACTTTGTTTGAATAATGAATATGAAAGTTCTTCGTCGTTCTAATATCATTGATTGTTCTCTTCTTTCTCGGCTCGATTCGCTTCGACAAAATGATGATCTATATAAGAACAAGTTTCTCTTGCTCGAGTGATCGATGACGATGTAGCCCGGTGGCAAAAAAAAAGAAATAGTGACAACTCAGATTGAATTAGTCGCAGAGTAGTATGTGCGACTCGCATACAACGCAATTAAACTCATGAGAGAGACACAAACCATTGTTAACATTTTTTTCTTTTCTTTTCTTTCTCGATATTATTTATACAAACAACATATATCTTATATAAGAACGATTCCAAGGACATTATGACAACATAAGACTTAACTCTTATTATTATTGTTTTCATACCAGCCGGTCTCAATATACACTAGAAAAAACATTTTAAATGACATTTATTGACGGATATTAATTAATCTTATTTTCCATCGATCTTATGTTTATTTGGTACATTTACACAAAGAAATACGATTAGAAATTTTATTGTTCTTATTAAAATAATTTAGTTAACTTTAGTTAATTTAACAAAAATAAATTATCTTTTATTTTTATATTTTAATTCTATCAATATATAATATAACATCATATTGATTCTGCAATTAAAACAAAAACAATTATTCATGGTTTTCTCGAACCAATGACTGACTGACAGTATTGATTATTTTAGTGTATCGTATCGTATCGTATCGTATCGATAAATGTCAATAATCGTTATCGTTATCGTTATCGTTATCGTTGACTTTCGTTGTTAATAAAATTAATTTTCAAGATGATGATTATCCTTCGTCTTAAATAACATTTTATCTTTATATATTTATTTATTTATTTATTTATTTTATTGATTGTTGATTAACAAGAAATTTAGTATTAGAATATAATTATAAACTATTGTTAAAATGTTAAACATTATGAAATTTTAATAAAGAAAAAATATTTATAATAATGATTCAATTTTTGATAAAAATATAATCATATATATATACATAAAAGAATCGAATAGTTTAAATGAATGAAAATAGAATAAATAATTATTATTCATCACAGCAAATTTTAGAAAAACAAAACCATTGATAAAAAATATTATTTCTCTAGATGCTTTAATTAATGTTGAATAAATGCATGTCATGAATAATATTTTCTTTATTTACTGAAAAGGTTTTTAATAAGAAATAAATAAAATAGTTTTTTTTTTATAACAAGACAAAAGAAAAAGAAAAAGAAAAAGAAAAAGAAAAAAGGAAATGTAACCTTATGTTCTACTCGATATTGTTCTAATATAAAAATAGTCTATCATCATATTTACTCAATTGACGTTTAGTTTTTTATTTTTATTGTCGACATTTATTATCATGTAATTTTATACATAAAAGTGTATCTAACACAACTAAGAAAAGGAAGGATAAAAAAAACAAACAACTCAAACACGTTTGACACATTGAATTATTTAATAGAATCGTTTTATTAAATATTTATATAAATGGGTTTATTATGTGAAGATAATTGTTTATCATGGACTGAAATAAATCTTATTCTTCAACAAATAAAAACTTAAAGTTTTGATAAACTTCTACGTGTTTTTAATAAATATAAAGATCAACAAAAAGATGAATTTACATGGGAAGATGATATATTATATTAAAAAAATAAATTTAATATTGTATTTTATTTATTTTTTATTTTTTTAAAGATTAAATTAAAATTATTAAGATTTGATCATGAAAATAAATATGTTTGATTATTATAAAAAGGTGATAAATTATTACCAATATTAAATGAATTAAACAAACCAATCGATGATCAGTATGTATTATATATATATATATGTATATGTATAATAATATATTTAAATATTTAACGAGCATCTTGTATAGCTTAGTATCCTAAACTATGTTATTTTGTTGTTGAAGGTCTTCAATTCCAATCTTATAGATTTTTACTATCGTATGTTAAATACAGTTGAAGCAAATATGAGATTAAGAAGATAATAAGTACAAAAAAATTTTATTTCAACAATCAGATTGTGAATATGTTTTAAATATTGTTAATTTTCCAAGGTAATTATTAAATAATGTTGATTTTATTTTTCTTAATCTATTCATTTTTCAATCATTTTAACGAGTTTAGAGAAATTTGAAAACATTATTATACAATTAAGAATTTCATTTTCTTTTTTCAAATATATATTCAAAATCTTTTTAGAATTTCTAGTTTAGAAGTTATCAACTGAATTTTTATAATTATAAAAAAATAAATTTCGATGAACAAAATAGATTGTTATTTGCATAGAATCAAACTTTTCAAAAGAATCATTCAGGAATGATCAAACTCAATTTTCAAGTTTTATTATCGTAGAAATTTAGAAGATTGTCTAAATTAACATAATATCCCTTATCAAAATGGTCGCTGTTAACAAAATGACTTAGAGATACTTTTAATGAGATTACAAAAAGTGAGCTCGAAACGCCGTAAACTCGAAATTTCGAGCTCACCTCACGTCAGTCCATGGATTACCACTAAAATCGATCCATGTTTTCTGGTTAATATCAGTCAGATCCCATTTGNTTCCCCCTTGCAGAAAACTCAGTTTTTCATTTTTCTCCGCTTCGGAGAAAATCGGATCCAGGAATTCCCTATATTCGCAATATATCGTCTTTATCCTCTGTATCCCTAATGTGTCCTCGGCGCATTCCGGATACGTAGATTTTTCGCGGATTCGCGTATCCGGGATACGGTCAGGATACGGAGGATACATCGGGGATACAGAGGATACATCGGGGATACACAGGATACATCGGGGATACACAGGATACCGAGATACCACAATCCGCTTTTTCCCCCTTGACTTACCCCCTTGGCCAAAGCACCGCATGTGAAGTGATTTGGCACAACTTCTTATTTTGGTGATGTTTTTTTGGAATGGTTGGATTTGAGTCTCATGAAATATTGAAATTCAAGATTAGTATAGGCTTATAAAGAAATTTTCGGGCTCTCTAGTGATATATTTTTTATGAGAAAATGTTTTAAAATAGTTTGGAAAAATAGATTTTATTATCTATGCATAAAATGTATGGAATTGCCAAATCATCCCGTATGTATACATTGATTGCCAAGCCACTTCATTGGAGGTGATTTGGCAAATGTAATAGTAGATCTCATGAAAACCATCGTCGAAATGTTACTAGGTGACATTTTTTTAAATTAAAAACACTATTGAATAGAAAAATGTTTTCTGTACATACGATCTAGCAAAAATCTTTTTCTATCGTTCAGAATAAAAAAGTTATGAGCATTATAAAACAAAACTTCGATTTCATGTGACTAATTACCCCTTCTTACTCTAATACTGTTGACGTTGTTGCTTCTTTTCAAGTAATTCTGTGATTGTTATTCGTATTTTTTTCGATTCGTAAAACGAACTGATGGCTTTTATTTATATAAAAAGCTTTTTTGCATTTGCTTTCGAATAGGTTTTTTTCTTTGTTTATCAGTGAAAGAGTATTTAATTAATAATTTGAAACCTTCTCAAATGAATAAATATGATGAAAGAATTTCTTTTTCCTATTAATCAAACAATGTGATGTAGCGACCTCTTCGTTCTGTTCTTATTGGTTTGAATGGTTAAAATAATACATTTACACAGAGTCATTTGACAACACATTTTTAATGTGAATTCTGATTCATTAGTTCACAACCTTTTATTTTCTCTCAATAAATAAAAATCATAATGAAACAATCGCAAAATGAAATTGATCAAATGATACAACGAGCACGAGTAAGATTAGCAAATTAAATATTTTTATAAAAGAAATATTTTAAATTCAAAGCCTAAAAATCGTGATTTGGTTCGTCGAGATATTAATCAATGCCTTAATTCTTCAATAAGTAATTTAATATTAAAATTAGTTGAATATTATTATAATGATGGAACTTCAAAAGAATTACTTTGTTTGGCTGGAACTGTTGCTTGTCAATATAAAGGAAATCGATATAATATTCCTATTGAAATATGGTTTCAACAAGATCATCCAAATGTTCCACCATTAGCTTATGTTAAACCAACACCAGATATGTATGTTTCACCAGCAAGTAAAGATGTTCAATCTGATGGAACTATTATTATATCTTATCTTAAAAATTGGCGTCATGTAAAACATTTATTTATTTATTTTATTTAGTTTTTTAATATTCTTTAATTTCATTTCAGCCAAATAGTGATCTTTTGAATTTATTAAAGGCAATGTCTGATGCATTTAGTCAATCACCTCCTGTTTATTCAAATTCTAGTATGGCTAATCGTTCAACACCATATCCAACAAGTGCATCATCAATGCCAACACCAATTGGAATGCCAATGACTAATAGTGGAAATCCATCATATTCATATCCATATGGATATCCTCAAACACAAATTCCTCAAGATATTTATCGAGATTCTGTTCAAACAGCTGTTTTAGATAAAGTTCGAGTTCGTTTAGATGAAACAATGCAAATAGGAAAAGCAGAAATTGATTCACTTAAAAAAACTGAACAAGATTTAATTGATGGAGAAAAAAGAATTCAATCATACATTAATGATGCACAACAACAACAAATTCAAGCACAAGTTTGGCGTTTTTTACTTCCTATTTAATTTTCTCTGCTTTTCTTTTAGAATTATATAACAAATATGAAGGCAAAAACTAATGAAATATTAGAAGCAACACAAAAAATGTCATCATCATCATCGGGAAAAGGAAATTCAGTTAAAGAAGATGCTCTTATAACTCCTGCACCTGTTTATAAACAGTTAAACATTTTTATTTCCTAATTTTATTTATTTCTTGTCGTTTTTTTGTTTTTGTTTTTCTATAAAAAGACTTTTACAATCATATGCTGAAGAACATGCAATTCAAGATTTATTATATTATCTTGCTGATGGACTTAGAAGAAAATCTATTGGATTAGATACTTATTTAAAAGTTTGTTGTTTTTTTCTTCTTTGTTTATTAAGAATATTTTCATATATTTCTTCTTTTTTTTTAGCATGTTAAAGAACTTTCTCGAAAACAATTTATTTTAAGAGCTACAATGCATAAATGTCGACAAGTTGCTGGTTTACCTTTGAAATAAATATTTATCTTTGTTAAATAAAAATAAAAGTTAAAATAGAGGCTCCGGGTATTAATCTTGGTGTCTCTTACATGCAAAGCGAGCGCTGTATCGTGTGAGCTAAGCCCCTATTGAGAGTTCTCGTTAATTTTTATGTTGATTATTTTATATAATATGAACTAAGACTTGAATAAATAATTTAATCATAATAATGCAATTTGATAATTACTTCCATTTGAAAAAGAAAAATCATTGTCAATGTCGTTCATCGTAGACTAACATATGAAGACAATCCAAGAACAAAGATCTAACTCAGAAATCATCTGTTCATTAAGGCATTTGTCGACTTATTGCTTTTCGTTCGGTCAATTCTCATTGCAAACTCTTCTTTTTTTCATCTTAACATACGATTCATGATTCAAGTCAGTCACTTGTTCTGGTGTGCTGGAAAAATGTCAAAAAATAAATAATGAAGTAGAAAAAAAAATGATACGTTATAAAAATTTTTTCTTGTTTATCTTTTAACTTATGCTTGGTCTGTTAGAATGCTAGCATTAACTCCTACAATAAAGGATGTCCTTCGCTGGTCAGAATTTTCTGAAATACTTTGACCATTTTTTCACGTTGATATTCTTTTCTCGATATTTTTACTACCAAACCTTGTTCTCAACTTCTCAGCATCATTTTGAATCAAAAAAAAAACTTGGTGAGAATGTAAGTAGTGTATATGTAATATTTACTTTTCAACATTCGATGGCATTGAAGAGATATAAAAATCTCGAAAATGATAATTGACAGTTAATAGTTTTCTTATATGGTAATGTATCCATATCCACGATAAAGTCTTACAAGTCTGGAAAGATTTTCGGCATGGCGACCTAAAAGCAATACGTAAACTATTGCACTGCATGCAGTCAGCTGACTTTTCTACTTCAGCTTTGCTCGAGTGTCAGTCTACTATAAAATTATTATGAACGACATGATCACAGCGAAATAATTCAATTAATTATGGTATATACCAGGGCTTAATATGGGCCACGAAAACGAGGTCCGAACAAAATTTCGTTTAAGAAATTTTTTTTCTCAAAAGAACTTAGGAAACCAATTCGGTTACTGTTAGGATACAAAATATCAACGAATCGAAGTTGAATTTATTATTTAGTCTAAAGATAATACACTGTAAGGTACTGAAAATCAGTAATGACTGTTATAAATTGCTCGATATCCTATGGCAAAGTTTCAATTGAGTTTTATTCATGAAAATTATTTTATTTCGGAGTAAAAAGGTTTTTTCAGTTTTGATTATTCAAGGAACTAGCTCGTAATCGAGAATAGCCGATAAAGAAGGAAAGAACAATTTATCGATGCCTCCAATTTGAAGATGAGCCTTTTAACTTTGAATGTCAAGGATTTTTAACACGCTGATTAATTATTTTCTACTACATGCTAAGTCTCTTTATGATAGAAATCGGAAAAAACTTCGATTAGAAAAGCAGCTCAAAATTCCAAATATTGCCTTTTTCCATTAACTACTGATATGCTTCCCATGAAATTCCTCTTTAATAAAACTTGAACAATTAGATATAATATTTATTTACAACTTCTACTATCGCTGACCACCCACTCTACCTCTTTTTTTCTCCTTTGTTTTTAAACTCCTCTTTTTAGCAAAAAGTAAAGTGTAGAGAGAAAAATTTAGCATAGATAAATTTATTCAGTAATAGTAGACACATGTATGACAGTGCACAGTGATTTTTTTTCTTGTTTTGCTTTTTCACATAAAGAAAATGCTAGACCTATGAAAATACTATATGCAACTATCTTAGATAGAAAAAGAACTAAAACGGAACTAACGTTAGGAAATGTAACAAGACTTTATTTTGGATTGAACTTTAATCGCATATTCAGTAAATCTTGTTTTTTCGTTCTTTTTTTATCGTCAATAAGACTATGAAAAAGATTTTCTCCTATCTTAACTACAATAATTCTTTAAACTTTATATATTTTAGTCGTTTTACTTTGAAAATAGTTATGTATATTTACTGTGCACAAATCATATTTTGTTATGTTCTGAAAAATATTTCGTTAGAACTTTTTTTTAAATCTAACATTCTTCTGCATTCATAACCGTATAAAAAATATCTAACCTTTTTAGTATTCACATTCTATACAGAATTATCGTCATGATAAAAGTCATTTTGCGAGGAATCGTTTTCAATGGTCCTAACGCGTTTAAGTTGAAACTCTGTGCATCAGGTAGATCCCATTAATGTATGAAAAACTTCAAAATATTTAGTGTCCTTAGGCCTTATGTCCAAAATTATAGGAATTTTACTGCAATGCCCGTCTGAGGCATAGTATATATCAACTAACCGAGTGATGATATTTCAGTTAAGATTCAGCTCACAAAAAGGTTTATTGGTGAGTAAAATGTCCTCAAAAATTACAGCTGAAGAAAAGGTTTCCTTCGGTAGATATTAGTCGTAAAATCAATAATATCCTACGAACGGTGCTAAAATATTCTGCTTTTTGGAATTCTAATATCTGTCGAAGGAAACTTTTTTTTAGTTGTAGTTTTCAGGATATTTTGCTCGCCAGTGACCTATTTGTAGGCTAAATCTCAGCTCGAAATACCGTCAGTCGATTTGTTGGTATATAACATGCCATAGGCTGAAATTTCAGTAAAATTCCTATAACTCTGGGCAGAAGGTCTATGGACACTTATCCTTTTGGGGTTTCTCATGCCACAGTGGGGTCTATCTGATGCACAGATTCTGAACTCAAAAGTAATTGGGTCCTTGAAAACGTTCTCTCGTTAGTAGAATTTAATTTGATTTCTTATGTTTCAATAATTATCTATCAGTTGTTTCAGATTGTTTGCAACATAGTTGATTTTGTATATTACTAAAAAAGAAAGAACAAATATAGTGAATAGAGAAATACACTTGATTAAATTCAAGAAGGAAATTATTAAAATTGACTGTAAACAAAACAGAGCAATATGAAAGAATATAATTTTATTCTCTTATCTAAGGATTTTATCTTAATGAGAATATTAAGTACTTTTCATCGAAATACCAAAATAGCTACTATATTAGAAGGAAAAAGTTACCTTTTACTTTCAAGTAGTCATGCAATTAACTATCATTTGAATAATCATGAAAATCGAAATCTGATGTCTTAGTTTAATAATATATTAATTATTTTCAAATTAATCATTATAAAAGTAAATGTTAGAAACTTGATCAATAATTGACTGAAATAGAATTATATTTTGATTAGAAAACTATTCTTATCATAAAAAAATATTCAAATAAATATATGTTTATAGCATTTAATGACAAATCTATGAATTGAAATAAAGAACGTGAAAGAATACTCTGCTCATATCATTTCAATGTCACTTCAATTAACTTCTCTTTGAGTGCAACAATTTCAATGGTTTTTACATCTTAGTTGAATACGTAAGGATGAATTACATAATTACTTTAATTTTGAATTTGAAAATATAGTTATCTTATTTAATTAAAATCTATTCCTATTATGAATAAATCATTGATCAAAATTATAAGAAAAGAAATAAAAAGTGAGATAGAAAAGTTCTTAATAGTCTACATTAAACGAAAAAAGATATTCAATATGCATTGTACACATTTATTTTCTTTTGTTCATTCAAAAATTATCATATTTTTACGAGTCAACCCTAATAATTTAACATCATTTATTAAACTTAGTTTTATTTTAATTTTTAGGCATCCAATCGGCTAAGAAATAATACATTCAATACTTTTAAATATTTGGAATTTTATCTTCCTATTTGTTATTTTGGCTCGAATATAATCGTTTCATATTGGCAAATCTTTTGTACCTTTTCTTAGTAATTCTATGTCTCATTTAGAAACATTGCGTCTTTGGAGACCAGATGATTTTCCTTGGACATCTAGTAAATGTATCTTTAATTAAAAAACTAATCAGAACAAACTATTCAAACTTTAATCAGGAAAATTCGAAAAAAAAAAAGAAAAATAATTTCAATTAATAATTGTTATCTTTCTTATTAAACCATACGAATAATGAAAAATTATATTATTTTCTCGAACTCATACATTTTTTCGAAGAAAATAAGAAGTGTCGAAGTTTTAAGTCGAAGTTTTCCAGTTCTTCCTCTCCATTACAAACTTTGAAAACTTCACAAAAAAAAAAACAAATTTTCTGTTTCAAATCAAAAATAAATAAGATAGATCCATAGTACGGCAATGGATTGTCTTTACAAACAACTATGCTTTAGAAAATATTTTTCACATTAGATCTTTTGTATTAGTTTAACGAAGCTAAACAGAATATGTTAGTTGAATATATCAGCCCCAAAAATGAGTACACCAACAAACATTTTTATTTTTGAAAATATCAATTTAATTTGAATATTAAAACATTTAATAATAAAAAATTAACTAACTTAGAGAAAACTGAATATACTAATGAAAGAACTATCAAAAATAATATCTCACGTTTTTTATCATGTACCAATCATTACTTAGAGTCTATTCAGACTAGAACTAAACTACTGTAGAAAGATTTTTTTCTATACGTTACCTTATCGGAGTTATGAGCATTATACAAGAGTCTTTACCATTGGCACCATATTTATGAAAAAACTGAACAAACAAATTTTACTTATGTATAGTTCTTGAAGTCATTAGAATATCTTAGAAAATTTCACATGAAAAGAGCATTCTCTTCTCGACTATGGCTCCTACGTTATTACTATTACTCGACTATTTCTAATAGTTTTCCTTACTTTTTTTTTTCCTTATTACTGTTTATTATAGTTAGCTTTGGTTTTATTATTTCACTAATAGTAGAACTTTCATTCATTTTTATTAACGAACAATAAATTATTTTCCTGCTATTTTACTATTAATTACTTTTATCACTTATTACAGGTAATAGAGTAATAAAGACTTGAAAGTAATAAACGTATTTAGTAATAACGATTAGTGAGTTATTACTCTAATAGAGTT